GCCCAGCACCCCGAAATACGCCTGTCCCGCCCCGTGCAGGTCCAGGAAGCCCCCAGCACCCCTCAATCCATCCCCAGCCCCCCTCAATCCACCCCCAGCACCCCGAAATACGCCTGTCCCGCCCCGTGCAGGTCCAGGAAGCCCCCTCCCCAGGCGGTGGCCGCCAGCTGGTCCCCGCGGCGGAGCTGGAACACGGCTCCCTGGTACAGGGACTCGGTCCAGAGCCCCCGGCGCTGCCGGTCCCGGTGCCCCCGGCACACGGAGCGGGCGGCCCGGAGCAGCGGCACGTCCCGGGGGTACTCGGGCGACAATCGCGACACCGCCAGCCGCAGCGGACCCCGCGCCGGGCAGCGCCGGCCCTGGAAGGCGGCGGCCGCGTACACGAAGTAGAGCCCGTCCCGAGGCACCACCAGCCGGTTCCGCCGCAAACGGACCCCGTTCCGAACCAGAGCCGGGGCCACGTCCGCCTCCCACAGCGGGGAGCGCCGGGGGGACGGCCAGGAGGAGGCTGGGGGGGAAAACGGGGGGTTAAAATACCTAAAAACGCCGAAATAAACCCAAAATCCCCCAAAATCCTCCAAAATCCCCCAAAATCCCCCAAAATCCTCCAAAATCCTCCAAAATCCCCCCAAATCCCCCAAAATCCCCCAGCGGGGAGCGCCGGGGGGACGGCCAGGAGGAGGCTGGGGGGGAAAACGGGGGGTTAAAATACCTAAAAACGCCGAAATAAACCCAAAATCCCCCAAAATCCTCCAAAATCCTCCAAAATCCCCCAGAATCCCCCAAAATCCCCCAAAATCCTCCAAAATCCCCCAAAATCCTCCAAAATCCCCCCAAATCCCCCCAAATCCCCCAAAATCCCCCAAAATCCCACAGCGGGGAGCGCCAGGGACACGGCCAGGAGGAGGCTGGGGGGGAAAACGGGGGTTAAAATACCTAAAAACACCGAAATAAACCCAAAATCCCCCAAAATCCTCCAAAATCCTCCAAAATCCCCCAAAATCCCTCAAAATCCCCCAAAATCCCCCAAAATCCCCCA